TTGCCGGTCAGACAAGAAAAGAGAAAAACCGGTGGGAGGGGCTGGTGGGAGGTGGGACGAAGAAAAACCAGTTGAAAATAAACCGGTTGAAAATAAACCGGTTGAAAGTGGGGGGAACTATTCAACCAATTCGTCCATTAAAAGTAGGGATAACATCTTATACTTATATTATGGTACGAAGGGAGTCCGAGGGAGTGTCACCACGAGTCACTCGCAATGTTGCATATAGCAGAAGGCGCCATATTTCTTCGGGCTAAAAAAAGCTATTGAAAGGCGCGGCGACTATTCCACGCCCAATCGGTATTTCCTATTTTGTGCCTTTAGCGCCCGATACTGTACAATTTGCAAACAGACGCACGCCCCCACTCCGCTCCTGGCTGGGCCGGCCCTTTGCCCGGCCAAATTCAAATACATGATCTCTTGCTCTATTGTAAACCGCAGGAACCACTAGCACGACCTATCGCTCGTGACTTGTTACTTCCTTTTTTCGTTTCCCAGTTTGTGGAAAGCCTCCGATTTGCAAAAATCCCCTTATTCTTGTTTGGTTTTACATTTATTTTTTCTTTTATATTTCTTTATTCTTTTTCTTTACATTTTTATCTTTTTATTCAAAATGCTCAAAGTTTTTCAAATTCGATGAACTTTAAAAAAACAATGAACTTTTTCATATTCAATGAATTTTTTAAAAAAATTGATGAACTTTTTTCAACTTTGATTATCTAAAAAAATCAATGAACTTTGTTTCAAAGTTGATGATTTTTTTTTCAAATTCGATGTACTATTTTTTAAAATTGATGATTTTTTTTCAAATTTGATGAACCTTTTTTTATAAATTTGTGAACCTTTTTAAATCTGATGAACTTTTTTCAAATTCAATGATTATTTTTCAGATTCGTGAACTTATTCCAAAATCTGTGATGTTTTGAATTCAATACTTTTTTATTTTTTACATGTTATCAAGTGGATGTTTGATAGCTGCAACTAGTCCAATAAGATCGGAGCCGAAAAGAGGCAATCAAGCAACCAGGCTTCTTGGGTCGGCCCACAATAGGAGGCACATGGGCCCAAGACCCTATTCGGGCGCTTAAGGCACCAGACAGGAGCTCCCAACCAAGGCTTCCTTACCCGGGCCAAATATCACTTTGGAAAGTTGTGGCATGCTTGAAAGATAACAAGTACCCGTCAAAAAAAGAAGAAGAAGAAAGATAACAAGTTAAAAGGAGGATATCTTGTGCCGCCGCCATCATGTGAGAAATTTAAGTCCCCTTTCCTCTGGCTGCCATCTTGCCGCTAAGAGGTAGGGGAGGACCTCGGATCTTTAAGACATATATGTTCTTCGTCAATGTCTAGTGATCATCATAGTTTTGTGAAAATAAATTTCTATCGTTCTTTTGGCAGTACCATGAGGTTAGAGTGTGTTCTATCTTCATAGATCTGATTATTCGAATCTGATGAGTTTATATTGTTGTGTCAAACTTTCTTTATTGGTCTGATTTTTGTAGAGGTGAAATCTTCCATCGACACCATGGTGAAGATATAGTGATTCGATGGCTTGCACTTCTAAAAGATCATCCTTGGCCTAAGTACGTTCACCGATCAAGACTTCTCATCTTTTTGGATGGGCGACTCAAGACGATTTCAAAGACCATTATTACTAATGTTCGTGTGGCTGAAAGAGTGACAACATTGTGTCTTCAGTCTAATTGCAGCCTTTTTACCGAAATCTTTGAAGTATTTCTTCTACCAGAAAATGATACCGCAGAGAACGTGTTTTGCAGGGATTTTATTGTGATTCTTTGTCATAGGAGTTAGTTTGTATCTTCTATATCTAAATAGTTAGTCCCCACTAATAAATTTCTCTCAACATGCAAGTGTGCCACCTCATCATTCGACATATATAGAAAAAGGCCCACCACGACATGCAACTATGCATATTAAAATCCACTTCAACATGCATGCATGTAAAATTTCATCATATTATGTTATTTACATTTAATTCATATATACTTAAAAAACTATTATTTCAAATATTCATGTTCTAAAGATCAAAACCTCATTAAAATATTGCAAAATATTCCCGCAACAACGTGTGGGGCATCATCTAGTTCTCTTAAATCTTAGATCCAGATCAGTATACATGTAATTGTTATGAGTATGAATAAAGTTACATGTGTTTTTTTTAATAAAAATAACAAGTTAAAATGGGCTTGAATGCCTGACACCAGCCGAACTCAGTGGCCTGCTTGTATCCCGGCGCGGCACAAGAAGGAGAACAGAGCAGACACGGCTAAAAGGAAAAAAAAAACCCCGAGAACAGAGCAGACTGGACCAGGCGCTGCTAACCCTACCGGACGTCTGGACCGGAGCCGAGCGCCGCCCCGAGCGCCGGCGCGCCACGCTGCCCGCACGGCCCCAAGTGAGCGCGCCCCCACTCGCTCCGGGCCGCGCCCCCGAGCCTGCACGCCGCCCTCGCGCCTGCGTCGTCCTCGGCTCCTCGGCACTTCGACGGGCACGGCGTGCGCCGGCCACCGTCCACCGCGGCGGCTGATGTGCCACCGGTAGCACCCCGGCCAACATTTATCCACCGGCCTACCGTGAGTGCTCTGACTTCTCAGTTTCATTTTTTTTTCTCTTTCCAGCTGAGAATAGAAGATGGTTAATTGTTTGATTCATTGCAGCATTCAATCAAATTTAATTAGATGAATACGCTGATATTTGAAAAATAGAGAAAACAATTATTGTTACTAAGGGTATGTTTGGTTTGAGCTCCTACTAGCCCCACTGAAATTTTGGCATGACCAAAGTGAGGGCAAGTTGTTCTTGTTTGGATTGTAGCCATTGTACCATCCAAAATTTCGGCAAAATTGACCCATGTTTGGTTTGCAACCAGTTGAGATGTGAGGGATATACTAGTCTTAGGAATATTCAGAGACATATACGTACTTCTAATCTAAAAATGTTAAGAAAATGTAGTGCCTCTGTTCCTGCATACATGAAGAAAATATAAGCGTACATGGACAGAGCTAGCCAGCTGGAAACACATGCCTAATCTAGCACAGAGCTAGCTGCCAGACTGACGATGTGCGGACTAGAAACTGATACGTGGGTGTCTAGGCTGGGAGTGGAATTTGTAGGGAAGAGGAAGATAATCAAAGCTGAATAAATGTTGGAACATTAATGCAGGGACTGCGAAGAGTCTCACCAAGGTTACTGTCCGAGTGAGGAAGGGTGGGAAAGGGGCCTAAGTTGCTGCTGAATCCAGCGGTGCCTCAGCTCACACAATATAGATCGAACGGCTGTTAGTAATTAAGGTGATGTGGAAGCACACGCGTGCAGCAAAATAGGTATTTAATGACTTGTAGTGGGGGTTGTCTATATAAGATATATAGACAAAAAATGAAACTAAGATACAGTTTCCTACAAAAACACTAAGATGTCTGAACAAGAAAATAAATGAGGCAGACAATGGTGCGTAATTGGTGCAGGTGGAAGTTGCTATACAGGAGCGGAGACTTGTAGGAGTACCTGCTAATCGCATGAGGGCCCACTGAACAGCTACACTCTAAAATAATGAAACTATCCTACAACATGGACCACATGATGAAGAAACAGATAATTACACAGGACCCATCCAGGAAGAGATGGCAGTGTACGACGCCAATATTTGGCGAAGGTTCACCGCACCCTCGGCTTGCTAGCGTGCTGGCGAGAAATGCATGATCTCGCGGCGGCTGTGCCGGGCCAGCCAACTCTTTGGCACCAGTTCAAACAGCCATCAATTTCGCTGGGCAAGCCTATTTTGTGGCATGGTAGCTTTGGCTGTGATTTGAACAGGTCCTAAGAACAATTTGTAGTTTCCTTGCTGTTAGTGTAAACTTTCATGTCTTATATTCTACTCCCTCTGTCCCATAATATAAGAACGTTTTTGACACTACACTAGTATACAAAACGCTCTTATATTTTGGGACGGAGGGAGTATGTCACAAAATAAAATAAATTGTAATTCCGCGTGCCATTTTGAAAACCCTGGTTCCACCACTGGAGGAGATTCTACTTGTATTTGCGCGGAGTAGATGAGGGCCAGTGG